AGGAGAACATGATTGTACGGATGTTTTTCACTCCCCTTGTCATATCCTGTTTTTATGTTGACAGGTTCCTAATGAGAGAGAGAGGCAGATACTGAGATGGTGTGTGGTTAAAAATGAGAATCGAAGATAAGCATGGAGGGATGGGAGATTAACAGAGTGAAACAGGAGAAGGGTTTGAAGTTGCCCCCTTCCCTAAACTTCCTGTTTCCTGGTTAGGGGTCAGAGGTCTTGTGAACTTGTGTCTGGGATTAACTGATACCAGGCACCTAAATAATATGTCTGGTAATGCCATTATCCTGATGCCTGAGAAGAGCCGGTTGCTACAATATATTTCACATGATGACGTGTGAGTGTGTGTCTGGACCTCGGAGGCAACATGTCCTCACGGTAATTGAGAAAACAGGATGATGTTCTGAAAATGAGGACATCTCATGGTGTTCACAAGGGGAATGTCTAATTTTAGAGTTAGGGGTTAAGGTTAGTAGTTAGAAAATGAATGGCAGGCCACTGTGAGTTTGTGTGTGTGTGTGTCAGAGTGCTTTATAATACTTCCATGTATTGCATCATTGCAGAGCAAGTGCTACTAACCCAGCATTACATTTACTGATGCAGCTGTAGGTTGTATAGATGCATGCTCACATATTCAAGCAATCACATATGCACAGCCTAAAGGTTGTTTCCCCTTTAATCAGTTTGTAAAAAATGTGTGTCCTATTGGTGGTGATTATTGCGTTAAAAAAAGGGTCCGTCATTCAGCTTTTTGACAGTGTGCTAACAGATTTCGAAGCACTCGGTCTCTTCTCATCATCACTTGTTGGTCCACACTTATCTTGCTCTGCGCTAGAGGCGTAGAGAGTTGTAGGCAGTTGTAATAATGAGCCTCAATGCCCATGAAGTCATCCGTTTTGCAAAAGCACCTGTTGTTACCACCCTCTATGGGATGTACGTCGCCATAGTAACGCCACACCCACTGCTGCTCTGGAGAGCCGTGTGTGAGTTTCACCACGAGTTTCACTGTCTCCCCTCCCAGCTAATGCTGCTTTCTTCCTCTCTTCTTTCCTGTCTTTTTCACTCCCTCTCTCTCACACACACACACACACACTGTATCTCCTCTCATGTGCACTCGTGTGACCCACCCGTACTTTCGCTCTTTGTGTCACTCACACATTCACACAGACAGGGCACTTGCGCCTGACTGCTTTAATCGCTGAATAGGGGAGTTTAGCAGCTAACAATAGTAGTTATGAGCTGACCCTTTATTCTCACACACACACGGAAAGAGAGGGACTTAACGCTGGAAGATAGGGTTCATAAAATATATTTTGAGTTTATTCAGTGTTGGTAGTTGCTAATGCTTTTTTTTTTTCTTACATCAGCAGCAATCTTTTGTTCTCTTTTAACCAATGATGCAAAAAGAAGATCCATACATGATCATTATATCAGTGCTTAGTGGTGAGGGACACGCTATTACAGTTGAATGAGGCAGAACCTTGAGTATCATTACTCCTTGTAAAGTGATGAATATTACTTATAGTGGCATAGAGCTGAATGGAGCATCCTGGTGTTGTCGAGGAGTCACTGGTTTGACTGTTATATAAATGTGCAGTTGAAAGTAGCAGTTATGAGCTGACGGTAATGATACGGTAACAAAAGTAATGACATAGTATTGGTCATTTAAACATACCTTATGAGTTGACCATTCATTTGCTAAGCTGAAACCGAAGCCAGCAAAGATACGCCAGGGAGAAACTGTCAGAGTGCGTGTGTTCTTTGAGGGGCAGCGAGGTGTTGGCATCAGGTGGAGCTGGGAGTAGAAAAGGCAGACAGAGACCGAGAGGAAGACGAGGGGATGAATGGATAGACAGGCAGACAGACAGACACACAAACATACGCAGGGATTATCCTTTGTGTAATCCTCAGTTTGAGGGTCATAGTGCAGTGTAAAGGGACAGGCATGTTCTGAATTTTCACACCAGCAAGTCCGATGTGTGTGAACGTGTGCATGCATGTGTGTATCTGTGTGTGATTAACCACACAAACTAGTTTGCTTATCAGTGATCCTGTGAGTGTGTTTTTCTTTTTTTTTTTTCATGTATTTTAGAATCAGTTTACGTGGTTGTGCATCTGTGTGTGCATATCTGTGTGTTTGCTGTATCTCTGTGTGTACGCATGTGTCATAGCGTGACAGATGGGGCAGATCGTACAAGAGAACAGCACAGATTAGGATCCTACTCTGTGCGGTGTATGTGTGGTTATTTCAAAACCAAAACTGGGGCTCAGTAACTGTCAGCTGTTGGGCTGTTGCTTCAGTGTTCAGCAGTTTGGGATGTCCCATTGTAATCTGCTGGATTGGATTTTTAATTCATTAGTGTCCGCTGAATGATGGCCAATCGATTTCCAATGCTCAGTTCATTGGAACCCATTGTACTCGGTGTGCACCAGCTGTCAGAAACAACATTGGTAGCTCAATTGAAACAGTGTCCTAACAAACAGCAATTGATGATATTTACACTGATAGCAAGCAGTGTGGCTGTAGGGATAAAAATTGAGTCTGTGGCGAGCACAACTCAGAATATTATCCTGTTTGAAGCTGTGATGGTGCAGTGGCTCTAGGTATGGCAGAGTTGGTCAATGTGTTGGCATTAAATGTTATAAACATTGTGGCATGTTCAACCCTACTGACTTTGGTAATCTCCAACTTTTCATCTAGCACCTCCAGCAGGCCAACAGTCATTCATGAATCTTCTCAGTCTACTGGATGGATTGGCATAAACTTACGTACAAACATTCACGGTTTCTTGGAACCATTTGTGTGTTTTTAGTGAAATGTCACACCAACTATTGGATGGATTGCCGTCACGTTTGGTGCACAGATTCATGTCCCACTCATGATGAACTTTAATAACAGTGGTGTTAAGTGGTAGCATGGTAACAAGTGACGATGCCTAAGTATCATTTGTCACAAGTACCTTGTCACAGAGTTGACCTTAGGATACTAAATGAAACGCCATAGGGAACAAAGAATGAGAAACTATGATCTAGGCTATATGTGTGTGTTGTATATTGTTACATAATAAAGTGTGTAATTGTCTAAAATTGTGCAATGTTAATTAATTGTAGAAGAAAGAAGAATCTGATCCCACTTTACTGCCAGATATTGTGATTATTATTGGGACTGTGGGCTTGTAATTTGAGCAGTACAGCCATATTCATTCAACATCACTATGCTGAACTGAAATTAAAGCTGTGTTTGTGTGTGTGTGTGTGTGTGTGTGTGTGTGTGAGACATGAGGGTAGAAACCAGCTGGTTCTGACAGCTAATACACCGGTCCGCACGGCACCCATGTGTGCACACACACACACACACACACACACGCGTGGATAAGATTTATAATGTTGTGATATAATAACACCTGTTACTACTTCCACACACGCTGGTTAGCCTGGTTCCAGACCTCTGATTCACTGCCCACATCTCACATCTCATCGAGTGATTCAGAAGTTTGTGTTGCTCTGATCAACGGCTGTTTCCTCATTTGGAAACACAGAAATGACATCTACTGTAACTGCGCCAGAGCCAGAATCTAAACACGTTAGATGCCTTTGCTGTTCTCTGCCCATTGGCTTTGTGAATGTTTTTATTGCCTTGATGGAAGATGAAGTGACAGAAGCACGGCTTGGTTTGATGGCTGTGTATTTTGAAATCCACAGAGGCAATGAAATAGCTCGACACAACATGGAGCAAGGTAACAGCAGCAGATGGATACGAGCGTCATCAGTATCATTTATAGGGCTGCTGTAAGCCAAGCACCTTTCTTCAGTGGGCGTGGTGGGTAAGGATGAGAGGGTGGGAGGGAGGGAAAGTAGCTGTTGCAGGTCCTGTAGGTCTGTATGTAATATCTGCAGTAAATCTGGTGTGGTTTGAAATGGGTTTATGCACGGTAATAATCTCTATTGTCACTTCCACGCTCGTCCACTAATCTGTATTTTTGCTGTGGTAATCTCTCGTCTCCATGGGGATTTATTGTTGTAGTCCCTGAATGTCGTTGCCATAGAAACAAGTTCCTCCCCTCTCTGCCCCCATTCTGCCCCTCAGAGTAGGGGCGGGTGGGAATGTATGTTTTCTTTTTTATTAGACTGAGAGTTGTCACATCTGCTTTATCAGATAGTAAAAAAACACAAGTGAAAACCAATAAAGCCAGACAGGTAACTCTGTCTTTTCTTTCTATTTCTGGACTTTTACACTCACTCCTCTGTCTGTCTCTCATAAACTTTTATCTCTCGGGCCACAGGCCAGGTCAGGAAGTTGTTGTTGCTATGACGACAACCCCTAAATCCCAGACGGACAGCAATGGAGTTTAGGTTGGGGACCTGTAGTGTTTGTGTTTGAGTGACTTTTGTGGCTGCAGTATGGTGTTTGTGGCTGTGTGGAGGGTAAAAACAGCAACCCTTTAAATGAGGAAATGAGGATATGGTCTCATTTGGGGACTTTGGACAGTAAAAGTGTTTCTAAAAGTTAGCAATACCCCCAGGGATTTTTAGCCAGAGTAGAAAAATCTGGTGGGCGGAGCATCTTCCCTGCTGTTATTGTCTGAGAGGTTTCTGTTTATGTATTCAGTAATGCTGTCTTTCCCTGTAATGTAATGTACACATGCAAAATATTGCAGGCAAAATGTTGTGTTGTCGACATTCCCTGAGGTATTGTGAAGTGTCCATGCTACTCTCCATTAGTAATCTGGCACAGTAGGCATACACTGTTGTGCTCTCTCTCTCCTTCATCTATCATCTTTCACCTCTCTCCATCTCTCTCTCTTCTTCCACTACTCCCTTTGCCTCTGCTCTGCTCCTCTGCTCTCTTTCATACACTCTTCTTCACCACCCCCCACCCCCACCCTGTTCCCTCTCGTTTTCTGCCCTTGTTTCTCCGAGCGATAGTCTCAAGGGAAGCAGGCGCAGAGCTCTGAGGGAGGGAGGAGAGGATGGAGGAGAGAAAACGGCAATGACAGTTTTGTAGGGCAGGCTTTTGCTAAGAGGTGGTGGACGCAAGTGAAGGAAAGATATAGGCAGAAAGAAAGTGGTAATAAAGAGAAGGGTAACGGTGCAAAGAAGTAAAGAGAAGAGACATAAGGAAAGGAGTTACAGGGAAAAAGAGAGCAACAGAAGCAACACTAGGTAAGGCCATGAGTCGTGTCCATCAGTCCATCATTTAACAGTTCATTCTTTTAAAAAGCAGAAACTAACCTGAGGTGTTGGACGGATGGATTTAGTGGAGCTATTGAGGTAAAGTTTAAAGGGTCTGGTCAGTGTCAGTCCTTGTATAAGTACATTTTTCATCTTTGCTGTGACAGTCATGTGCAAACAACTGTTCACTGAATGCTGGAAATTGTGTCAAGAAAACATCAACATCATATTCTAATCTGACTGAGTAAAGCAAATAATAAGATAAAAAATACTAAAACTAAAATAAATACTGATAAGCTGCTTGACAGCATGTAACCTGCAAATATGTAAGCTCTTAGATCTCAATAAGATGAAGAACTACGTTGAGATATGCTAGTGAGTGTTTCTAACATCCCTCTCATAGGTACACAGAAATGCCTCGTCTAATTCAGCTGGAAATACTAGCTGTGTGTCTGAGTTTGTTTATCTTGAATGTGCAGGCTTTTCTCTCGCCTGTTTGGACAACTGGGTTACTTGAACGCTGCTAATTGGCTGTGAAATAGCGGGATAAAACGTCCTAACAGCATGCACAGCACTCGCCTCTAGACAAATTCTGCATGAAGAGATACTTTCTTGATGAAACAAACGAAAACAAAAACACATAACATCTGACAGTAGACAATAGTTCAACCCGTCATTCAGGAGATAGATGTAGCCCTGAATACTGCACTGTGATGACAGACAGCTTCCTAACACTGACTTACTTTAGATGATGTACCGATGCTTTTACTGCCATAAACCATTCACTGTGTGTATATGCGTGTATATATATATATATGAAGAGAAGCTGTAATAATGCCACTGCTATTGTTTATATGGACTGTGGGAAGAGGAGAGAAAGAGGAGGGGTTTGGAGGAAGATAATGTGAGTGGGCGATTGGAGGGGATTGAAAGGGGGCCCAGAAGAAAGGGATTGAGAGAGGAGAGAGATGAGTGCAGAGATTTAGTGAAAAAGAGAAAGAGGCACCCTGGGCTGAAGAGCAGAAGGGGAAGATAGAAAGTGAGCGAGGAGAGGGCGAGTTAGAAAGTTGTGAGAGAGGTAGAACAAGGTTCCCGGTGTTAAGCCGTTGTAGGGAGAGAGAGGCCGGTTTAAAGCAGGCCTAAGTGGCCGTGACGAACATCTTGCAAAAAAGCTGCACTCTGATGCCAACTCACACAAACACACACATAAATACACTCCTCGCTAGTCCATTGAGGAACACCGTGTCTTAGAGGGAACGGCAGTAAGGGAGCAACAGAGCTGTTTTGATCACTCTAGGGTCGGAAGAATGAAGGAGCAAATTAGGCAAATCCATTGCGTCATACACAAGGCAAAAATATTTCAGAAATCCCCTTTTTTGCCGTTTAAAACCCTACGTAATAGTCTGGTCATGCTTGCATGGCACACAGCTATGCTTTGGTCAGTGCCAGGGTGTTTCAGCATGGATTGATTCAGCAGACTGGCTGTCCATGCTGTTGCTTTACAGTGTACACTGATCATACCCTGCTTCAGCTGCCACAGGTCTGTTTACTAACATTGGCCATGACGGTTATTTTCAGTGAGGAACTGAAATAACTTTCCCCTTTTGACTTAAACTGAAACATATGTGAAGAATGAAAATCACATTAATATGCTGATATTTAGCAGGTATGTTTACCATGTTCATCTTCTTAGATAGAGTTTCAGCATGTCAACATTTGTGCAAAACACAAAGCGCAGATCATTAGATTTTAGGGCCGTCACTTCTTCCCCAAATCATGTTCAAACGAGTTTCAAACGACACGCGAATCGTTCGAATGACTTGGATCAAGCGATCTCTAAACACATTGTACAAATGTATGACACCACTCAGGCAAACATAACAGAACGACTATACTATAGGATAAGCTCTTGCTCTTATTACAGCAATGGGCCACATATCCTTGCATAGAAATCTTGCTCTCTTAGGTGATGGCATTTTCATGAGATTCTGGCGAGGGTCCATCCAATAGTTAATATAAAACTATAAGTATCACCAAAGTCATTCATCCACTAGCTAACATGAATGTCTGAACAACATGTAATGGCAATCAATCCAGTAGTTGTTGAGATGTGTCAGTTTGAACTGAAGGGGCGGACTGAATGAACATCTGGCCAGCAGACCGACGTTGCGACACCTAAACATGACGTGACTAAAGTACTTGATTTCAAAGATTTACGCCTTTAACAGGCATCAATGGGCTGGAGGCAGAGTGCTGTTTGTTGTGTAATGTCACTGGGATTCCCTCTTCATGAGATTTCAGTTGTATTTACCTTGTTTCTCCTTATCTGCACAAGCACACTGTTATATGGCCTCTCTGACATTTGCACACACCTACACACACACACACACACACACCTCTCCATCATCTCCCCTCCTCCCCTCCTCCTCTCTCTACCTCATTAGCCGATCATGCGTAAGGAGACCTGTTCTATTTTTACTCCCGCCCCCTCCCTACACACCACTGCTGCACTGTTGACGTGTGTGTGTGTGTG